GTCCACTGGTGGAACCTCTTCTAACCGTAGATTTGACGAACCGGTTCTACCGAATAGATGCGAACTGGTAGGAACTCACCTCTGGTCCATATCGAAATCCTGCAATGGTTCTTTGTTCGTTTTAGCCTTTAATCCTCTTAGTTCAGTGTTTCTCAACCTTGGCAACTTGAAGATGTCCGGACTTCAACTCCCAGAATTCCCCAGCCAGCGAATGCTGTCTTAATTGCTCTTCTCTGCACTTTTTCCAATGTCTCAATTGATGGTCACGTGGGAGCCCGAAGGGACCCTTCAGGCTGCAACTGAGCCCCGTTTCTTTGCAAGCTGCCTGGAGCCACTGAGCATGAACTGGGCAGCCAGATGCATTTCAATAAATTGTTCCTACCTTGGCAGCTTGAAGATGGAGGAACTTTGTGCTGGGTGGGATTGGATGAGATTATCCATTGGATTAACAGAATGAAGGGATAAAATAAGAATTACCACTGGCAAGATGGGCGGCTAATAAATTCTACAGATAAATCCCTTAAATTGAGCCCAAAGGTTTTGTTGCTAAGAGAGACAGTTAAGTGGGCTTTTACCCCATTTTATGACATTTACTGTCAATTGTGAAGCAAATCACTTAAATCGTTAAGCGAATAACCTGGTTGTTAAATGAATCTGGCTTCCTCCTTTGCTTTGCTTGTCAGAAGGTCGCAAAAGGGGATCATGTGAACCGGGGACTCTGCAACCATCATAAATATGAATCAGTTGCATCTGAATTTGGATCACTTCAGCGCAGGGAGATGCTAGGAAGGTTCTAAGTGTGAAAAAATTGTCATCTCTTTTTCCATTGTAACTTTTGATCGTCGCTAAATGAACCATTGCAAGTCGGGGACCACCCATAATTAAATAAATAAAATGAAGCTGCCAAGGTCGAGCCCCCCGGGGTGGGAAGCTGCAAGCCGCTTTTCGGCGGCCTCCCGCTCTCCAAGGAGCCGCGCGGCAGCCCAGCCGATCTGCCTCGGGCAGAGGAGCCCCCGGGCCGGAGAAGGCGCCCCCCCCCCTTTTCCCACCGGGAGCGGCTTCTTCCATTCAAGGCAAAGCGGGAACCGGGGCGCTCCGGTGCCGAGCATCTCCGCCGGGCGCGGGGTTAAGGAAGGGCGGCGTAGCGGGCGGGGAGAGGCCGCTTCCAGGCTCCGGGGAAGACGGCCGGGCTTCTGTCCCGGAGCCCGCCCGGCAGGGAGGCCGCTTCCCGGGAAGGCCCGGCCCCTGATCCTGCCCGGCTACGTGCAGGCGGCCGTGGCCGGAGCCGCGTTGGCGCGAGGAGGAGGAGCGGGGCGGCGCTTGGCCGGGATAACGGAGAAGGAGGAGGAGGAGGAGGCGGGCGGCGCCGTCCCCGGGGAGCGCTGGCCGTCGTCGCCGGGGCCGAAGCGAGCAAGGCGGCCCCTCGCAGGTGAGCAGAGCCCCGCCGGCAAGCGCCCATCGNGTGTTGAAGCCCAACTTCCACTGACTTTGAAGCCAGACAGAAAAGGCCAAGTGGAGACATTCTCTGGGAAGCCAATTGCCGTAACCTTTGAGTCTCACCTGCCTGGAAATCACCTGGAAAAACAGGTCTTACCAGAAGGGCTGAATGGCCGCTTCCTCTGTTATCTCTTTGTCCTGAGGGCGGGTGTGCCGCAGGCATAAGATGTTTTCTCGGTTTCAACAAAACATTTGACACGTTTTTCCTTAAAAGTGTGACTAGAGTCCGTTGGAGCTGGGTGGCCAATAAATTTAAATTAATAAATGCAATTGCACGGCGTGGCAGATAGAATGATAGACTAACTTTATTGTCACTTTGAATGTACGCTAATTTTTTGCACTCTTGTTCCTTCTAGTTTTGTCTTTTCTTTCTGTTCCTTTTTCCCACGTATGTCATTGCCAACCCTCGAATAAGATTGCGAAATTTATATGGCAAGGGAAAAAAGTGAGAATTAACATTAAAATGCTACAGGATGCAAGAATTATAGGACGGTTCGGACTCCCAAATTGGGGGATATATTACCAAGCAGCGGCAACTGTCATGGATGAAGGACTGGATTACATTGAGGAAAACAAGGTTATTGACACTGGAGGGACATGATCTAAAACTAGGTTGCCTGCGTTTTTGTGGCATGGGAAAAACAAGAGACAGAGTTATTTTCAAAGGCATTACGTAAGAAACACTCTATTTAGTTTGGGAAACATTATTAGAAGATTCCAATGGGGCTTTTGACAATGGAAGCATTGATACATTCAAACTTTATTAAGATGGAAAATATTATTAGATATAAAGGAACTATCAGAAAAAGGAGAATTAAAAGGGAAACAAGAGTTAGAAGAACAAGGGATAGATATGGTTTGGTATACAAAGTTGCAAATGCAATCGAGATATGAAAAAGATTCAAAGCTTTATGGTTTTTATTTGGAGTTGAGCCGGTGAGATTAGAACCGCTGCACTGCAGATAACAGTCAGCTGAAGTAGCCTGCAGTGCTGCATTTAACCACTGCGCCACCTCGGCTCTTTTTGTATTGGTCCCTGAGGTCCGAAAGGTTGGGGACCTAGTCCATCCCCCGGCTCAAGCAGGAGACCCCGTTCCATTTCAATCAAATGGCTGTCCAGCCTCTTCTTCAAAGCCCCCAGTGTTGGAGCAATCACAACTTCTGGAGTCAAGTTGTTCCACTGATTAAACCTTCCCACCGTCAGGAAATTTCTCCTTAGTTCCAGCTTGCTTCTCTCTTCGGTTAGTTTCCATCCATTGCCTCTTGTCCTGCCTTCAGGTGCTTTGCAGAATAGACTGACTCCCTCTTCTTTCTCTGGCAGCCCCTCAAATACTGGAATATGCTATCATGTCCCCCCTGGTCTTTTTCTCTAGACTGTTCAGACCAGTGGTGGGTTTCAAAAACCTACTCTGTGGGTGTGGCCTCCTTTGTGGGAGTGGCTTGCCGCCCATGTGACCAAATGGGAGTGGCTTGCCGCCCATGTGACCGGATATGA